GTCATATATATCGACGTCTGACATCGCGTCCAAAATATAGTACCAGATTATTGACTTCGTTGGACCAGAGAGAATTTAACCACATTCGGTTAAGGCATTTCAGCCCTGAGCAAGTCCTTAATTCAATGGCCAAAATCTAGGCAAAACGGGCTTCAAAGCGGCGTAACTCCGACAGACCTACGACTTCATTTAATAATTTTTTATATAAATCCATCTTTAGGGGGAAAATAGTGGCTGGTATTTCATAAATGGCATCGTGTCAATGAAATAAATTATAGACACTTTATTACCATACCTGTACAATGGAACAATTACAATGGGTTTCAATGGCGTTGGAGGAAAGGTCGATTATGAGTAGTGAACGGCAATGTTGGCAATCGTGCTGAAGGAAGATGCCCTGGCAATTGTTGTGACCTAAGGCACAGAGTTCACCACATCGGCTTCGCGCTGGTTAGGCGACAGCCGTGCTCATGGATTCTATGGCTGAAAACAATTTAGATGTCATTATTCATAATTTGTTACGCTCACTTATGAAGTGATGTCTGTTAATGGTATATCAATGAAAACATCAATGCCAAACTGATTGCTACACCACATTGCTTTGAATGTCAAGTGTAACGTAAATAAAACAATAACGCGAAATGAAGTAGTATGAAAATGCAAAAATACGGCTGTTCTGATTCGTCGATTTTTCGTGGTTCATGTTTTTTATATAATTTATTCTTGTTTCAGTTTTGTAATTTATAATTATGATTAATATATAGTTCAGTTTTGTATTTTATATTTATGTTTTTCATATAGATTATCTTAAATATAAATTTTATATTTTTGTTTGCTCGAGAGGTTTTTAGCCCTGCGGAAATGGAAGATGAAATGATGATGATAATGAGGGGTGAAAGGACGACACACATATACCAACATACACAAAGTCACCAATAGCCGAGGCGGGACGCGAAACCGCGATTCGTTCTGGTCCGAGACCGCTACGGTACTACTGCCTCGGCCATCTAATCGGCTATTATTATTATTATTATTATTATTATTATTATTATTATTATTATTATTATTATTATATCCTCTTGATATACATTTCATATACACGTACATATATTGCAAGGACATCACTAGGAAACAAAAAAAATTCATACCTCCAAGATGAAAGTAATAAATTTTAGAGGAAACGAGCACGCTGATTTTGAAAATTATCCAAAAAGCTTCTATCACGCAAGGTTCAAAAAATATAAACGAATTTAATATTTGAAATGAACAAAATCCTATACTAATTTCCTTATTGTCACTCCGGTTATATTATTACAAACTTTTATGAACATGCTTCATATGAGTTAAGAACAAGTTAAAAATGGAATGCACATATTCTTGCAATAATATGCAGCTATTAAAACGGTTTGTTGGTTTTCCATACAACCACAACCTAAGGTTCGTTGCGCACTTGCCAAGTCTGGTGAGCAGCCCATGGTTTGTTCTGATCATAAGCACGACAGCCAAAGTATAAAGAATACTCAAGTCTTGCAATTTCATTTTTTTTCCTTTGAAGTTTGAGAGTAAATTTTGCACAAACCTAACACACGTTATGGAGCTGATTCGCACACTTTCGATGTGAAATGATATGCATTTTATGAAACTTATTCAATTTTACAGATCATGTGGCGAATTTCACATTATAAAAACCATAGACCTGTAATGTATTAATGTATTTGAAGCACATGCAAACCACACACGACCTTCACGCGCACTGCGGGTCTAGTTCCTCATGACATCGACTGACACAGAATCTCACACCCCTGAATATTTACTTGCGAGACGGCAAGGGACTAAAATAATTCCTTCCTGTGACTGATGCGCAGTAGGAAATATGAGGGTGCACGTGACTTCTTTTCAAAACACCGACTAAGACCTACTCGTAATTAAGCGCGATTACCAGACGCGAAAATAAAGACGGCAATTTTCGAATACAGACGGTAAAAAAATCACGAAAGCCTAATTTTGTTGCATCTCATGAACGTGAAATAGATGCATTAATATTTTATTTTTAAATATATTTTTTGCGTTTTGACTCCACATAATTTACGGCTATTTAAGTATATTTGCATTAAAAAACACGGTATGATACTGTAACGTGATGTGCCCGCCGGACCCCACAAGACGGGCGGCCGGCGACGGGAAGGGGTTGGCCATCTGGCGGCAGGCTGGCGGCTACCAAGCTCGGAGAGTGCGAGCCGGGGCGCGTTGTCGGAACGTGGGTGTCAAAGCAGGGGGATGATATGTGACGGCAGTCGCGTCCGACAGCGGTGGCGGGCCCAAATTAGCAATGGGCCTAAAATTCGTGAATGAGGTGACGCGGGCCGCGGGTCGACTTCATTGGAGGTCGATCACGTGATTCCTCGAAAAAGCGGCTAGCGAAGGAACGTGCGGCATTCGAGTCTGAACCGAATCTCAGTGCGGAAGGCACTTGTCACCCGCCAGGAGTTACCGCTAGCTTCAGCTGTGAGGTCTTCCACAAATAACCAACAACACAAATTACTGCCACTTTCGTTCATCTGATAGCAACTAGCAACTCATCATACATTGTCTCATTTTAAAGAAAAGTTCTTTAAAAATATTGCAATGGAAGTGTAATAAAAAACAAAATAGTTCTATATTGCTAAGTGTTTTATCGAGTTGTTGAAATTTAGATCTCAAGATGGTCAATATTTCGTTTAAACGATTTAAACAAATCCACTTTCAAGAGACTTTATTCTTTTTTTCCTCGCATCAAGTTAGAAATAAAAATCAGGGCGGAGCCACTCAAAAAACGAATTTCTTCAACGTAGATAATGATTTACATCACATTCTACTTCATTTCCTATTGAATTATGTGGGCTTGGTTGCTAGTTTTTACCTGCACGGGACGCCAGGAGCGGCGCTAAGGTTAGACGCTCAGGTCTGCGTCAGGCGGGGATGCCTCAGAGAAGTGCAGTGCTGGGAATGCAGCGCTAGTTCCTCAGGAGTAGTTCTTTACAATAATTATTGTAAAGAAACACTGTAAATAAATCTGTTCATAACAAATCCGTGTTAGTATTTTACACGCACTCCGATGACGTTGCAATACGATATAGATATGGTACATTTAAAACCGGGACGTTATATGACGTTTTAATAGTGATATTCGTAATTACGTATAAAATTGAGTACGTTGCGCGCACTATCTTTCTGGAGGTAAAAATCTTGTATCGTAGCTTAGTTATTAAACAATGTGTTACAGACTCTGCATATTTTTATAGCATTCCTGTACCATATTAGTATAGATTACTGGTTTCATGAAAAAACCGATTATTATTTCTTCGGACAACCTGATATTCGAAAAAAATCTAGATTAATTCTCTTAGCAGATTGTCGCATGATTCACAGGAACAAGCCTGCCGAGGTTTCGTCTGCATTTCCTTGGAACTGCAAACGTGGCGTGGTGACCTAAGGCAACGTCACGGGGCCAGTTGCTGGTCTCGTCCGCAGATCCATTTGCCCCGTCTCCCGCAATTGCTGCTGCCCCGGGCAGCTGCCTCTCCAAGGCTGTTCCTTTGACCCCTCCGTCACCCGTCACCCGACTCCCTTCCAGCCAGCTTTACACTCCATATTAAACAAATTGCACGTATGCTGTCGGAATATGTTTGGTTTGCATTTCATACTGACACCCACGACAACACGAATTATGTGCATATTTTTCGTTTTGCCAGATTGGATTTTATTGTATTATTTTCGTTTGATCATGTGAAATGTAGGGTAAAAGCACCAGAAGGTACTATAGTCAAGAACATTTTCGAATTGTTCTGAAAATTCATGGAATACAGTACTAAATTCATTACGTGAAACAATAGGCGACCTCTCTGAATAGATTCTTTGCCTAAAATGGCTAATATTTAATTTGGTATACTTTTTATTTATTTATTTCCACACCCCATGGTAATGGCTACTTGAAAATTTTAGAACTGGTTAGATACTGAACTCGCTAATGGCCAATTTATATAAGTGTACGTGTTTTTCACCTTCAAAATCAAAGACAGAATTGCTTCCTTAGTTCAAAGTATGCCTTAATTTTAGGTTTTAAAATAATATCACGCACATTTTTCTTAATATGAGTGGTTTAAATAATTTTCACAGACAATAATAACCTACTTCCGAAAATATGTAAACAAGAATTTCTCCAAAACGGCTCCAATAATTTGTTGTACCGCTTGTTGATACACCGCAATAGCTGGAGAAGTACCTTGTCGCAATTCTTGGGGAGATCTCGGTAGACCATGTTCTGGCGTTAACCCAGATGAAACTTTAAGGAACGGCAGTCCTAAGGAGCGAAAATGAGCAATGCTCGGTGCCTACTTTCAGAACCTCAAACCTCCCTGATTCCGTGTGCGTGTAATGATAGACCCACGTCACTAACAATGTCTTACTCTTAAGTCAAACTCTCGTTTGCGTATGGTCGAACCGGGTGAGTTGGCACAAAGACAGTTATCACTGCAGAGAGTGGACCAGGAGATCATAGCTTTTGAGTCCCAACGGTGGTTCGGAGAAATCTAGCGACCGGCTGCTCTGATCGGTAGTTTTACGTAGATTTTTCGATCAATACTATGCGAAAACCGGAGCAGTACCTTAACAAATGAGCCACGAAGCGCGCGCGATCTTTCCTTCTTCACTCTTATCCCCTATTCTCTCAATAAACAACAATTTCACTAGCACGCATGGCAGGAGACTAGTCGAAAGCTTTGAGCTCGTCCCGTCTAGGGCGGTGTCTCACTGGGGGAGATACCTGGCGAGTTAAACCCTAGAAGTGTACGTGTAAGTCAGCGCCGGATCTCACGTTTTGTTGATGAACACAGTGACCTTCCGAGATATATGCGCGCACTATACGTAACGGCCATTGCAGTTGGCACACCAGGACGCACAATCAATAAATGGTGTGTGGTGGGAGTGCAGAGGGCTGACGTGCGTGTTGTCTTGTGTCGCAGGAGGCCATGGCCGCCGCGGGCGCCGCCCCCGCGCTGCGTCGATTGCTGCTGTGCGCTCTGGTGGCTGCGCTCCTCAACGCCCACGCCTGCTGGCGCACCGACCACAGTAAGTGCACGCAACAAGGGACTTAAGAACAAACTGACACAAATAGCGAATTTCCTCGAATTGAAACTGTTTTGAATGAGGACGTCAATAGAGTTAACGAACTATTAGACATGCCAGCATTTGCTCATGTAAAAATCCATTGTAATCTGTAAAATTGAAATCGGAGTCCTGGGTGATTTCAAAGTAGCTTCTTTTTTTATAATCGAATATCCGACAAATTAAAAACAATACAACATGAATACACAGTTTTGTGTCCTTTAGCACACATTTTCCAGACACACTCTTTGCCTGTTGTTCCGCTTCCCCGTTTCGCGACTAACTTCCAAATTCTTTACTATTATTTCTTGTTCATGCATCCCCTAACTAACCTCATTTGCCTGCTTCTTCCACTTTGTCACTTATGTCAAATTACATAGACTCATTACATAGACTCTGGATTCAATAATTTTTCTTCTCCTTGACACCACATCTACTTTCCCATTAATTCTTTCTCCCAGCCAGCTTATGATTACAATCGTATTATTTTGTTTTATGGAGTTATCTTGGAACTAATGTCTAAGATAATCGTAACTCCAGTGTAAGCAAATGAAATTCAACAGAATTGCACTTACCTTTTCTCAAAGGTCACATCTTTATGATATAACGATAAACGTATTTCATAAATTATTAACATTGCAACTATAATTCAAAACAGATAATGCTGATCAAGCTAGAGTTGTCTGATGTCTCCATTTCCACTTCGTGCGGGACTAGTTCGTGCAGAAAGTTACCTGATGATACACTCCAATTCAGTCCGATCGTGTTTCCCTTTGCAAGATAGCGAACCGGGAATAGAGCATTGAGCTTGATCAGCGCTGACGAGTGCAATAGCCAGGTCCGTCTCAAAACGCTAAAATCAAACGCATACTTTTCGCGATCTGTCACAAACACACTTCGCGTCATTATTTTCAATGACGCTAAATGAAATTCAGTATATAGTGGATTCTCGTTCTTAAGAAATTACTATTTAACTGAAACACTACTTTTTACACTGAAAATTAACATCTTAGAATTTCTCCACGAAAATAAAAATAAACATGATTCAAACGTTGGGCAAACGGGCTCACAGAACTCCAATACATTTATAGAAAGTAGAAAGATGTATATATGTTTCCCTTAAATACCGAAATACGCCTAATGATAGGAGTAGAGGCATCTTAGCCCAGTAGCCAGACGCTGTGGATAAAGATTTAAAATGACTGGAAACGAATAATTTGGAACTTCATCCAACTAATGTTGCGTTCTCCACCGGACACTAAAGGAAGCAAGACGATTGTTTCACAGAGGCATATCCTTGTGCGCGAAAAATATTTTGGCATAACGATTGGTTGGAAATTATGTGTTGGACAGGATGAAATTTAACCCCGATACAGTGAACATCTTGCCTCTCACTAGCCTCAGAAACACCCCATCAGCAGTATTCTTTACGCCTGATTTTCACAATATCTACTGTGCCTCTTCCTCTTCCCTGTTACATATTTTACGCCTTGGTTAATGCCAACTTTGTCAGGCCGAGGACAGAAGAGCATCCTCTTTCAGAATTTATTCACCCATTTCCAATAATGTGAACATTATGGTTGCGTAGGCTTCCGCTGCCGGAGTTTATGTTGGCTGGGCTATCCGGGACAAGCCGCGTAGATGTCATGGTGGCTACCGTTTCGGCCAGCGTATTGTGGCCTTCTTCAGAGCGAGCAGTAAGCTCTGAAGAAGGCCACAATACGCTGGCCGAAACGTTAGCCACCATGACATCGACGCGGCTTGTCCCGGATAGCCCAGCCAACAATGTGAACATTAACCAGTTAATTCGTGAATTAAACAGAAACAAATGTTAGCCGTAACATGTTCACATGCTGATATTTATCTGGATTTGCATGCATTCTTCATGTTCCTCTGACTTTAACAAATTACAAAAATTAAAGTTATAATAATGAAATACTGTAGGATAATATAGGACAGGACCTGGAAAATCGTTGCCAAATTCAAATTTTAATATATATACAATACATTTTCGAGTTTTGTGGTTTCTAATAAACCTATTGTTTACATTATATAATTATCGAAATCCGCTCTCTAGTTATGACAGGTCGGGCCACTACGGGCGCTGGCTTAAAATGCCACCCGTTATAGAGCAGCGTCATGTATTATCTCTATAATGTTTGTCATACTGTTGCCCCGAACTTTTCCCTGCCCGTTCGCTTCCTCCAAGAAGCCTGTCCCAGTCGCGTGGCCTTGTGCTGTGAGTGAGTGCGCTTGTGCTGCGTGTGCGCAGAGCCCCGAGTCTTCGGCGACCGCATCAAGCGCAGCAAGCTGGTGACGACGCATCGCGAGGTGCAGCGCAAGATCGTCAACTACCACAACTTCTTCCGGTCGCAGGTTGAGCCTCCCGCTTCCAACATGCTCCGAATGGTAAGTGCAATCGCCATTAGACCGCTTTGCGATGACAAGGTTCCAGCCGATAACACAGAAGAATGTGAGTCGAAAATGCGAGAAGTTCTATGTGACTTCTGCCTCAACTAGAGATTACTCGTGCAGCTAGCTGTGAACAAGTGGCTTCTGTAAAAACTCACTTCTCTATACACAGAAATGAAATTGTCATCAAATTACTCAAAACCACTGTAATGTTACTTGGAAACTTGAATAACTGCGAGTACAGAGTAATACGATTAATCACAGATTTTGCCACCTGGCCAACTGAAAATTATTGCACTGTTAGGCTACACTGGATATGTGGGGACTTTGAAGTGAAACTCCATAGTGACGGATCAGACAAGATCGTTTTTTAATTGAGTGTTTTTGTGCTAATAATGCGTTTAATCTATACATTAACTTCAGTTTATGCTTTTAATTTAGTCAGTTTCAAAATTAATTACCTTACATTTTTTATAAAAATTACTATTATTACTTCTACTGCTTTACAATGCTATTTACTAAAAATTTAAACTCGAACACTATGTTTAAAAGAACACACGGTGCGTCATTTCTTGCGAAAAATAACACTGCTCATATAATATTACCAATAAATAATAACTTTAAGTTTTTGGTCTCACAAGCACAATTCTAATGAAAAAGTGTTGTTGTTTTTATTTTCTTATTCCTTTCTTTCTCTGGTCTTTTTTGGTTGTTGTAGTTTTCTTATTTTCGTATCCTCTGTGTCGTGGAAACTACATGCGAATTTCCAAACTTCAAAGCTCTCTTACGGAACTGGAAGGTCACTTGCGTCATTTGTGTATAA